GCTGCCTCCTGCACACCTCCTACTGGGGATGTGCCCGCAACCAAGGTACATGCCCTTGACTGGAATCGAACCTGGGACCCTTCAGTCCACAGGCCGACGCTCTATCCACTGAGCCAAACCAGTTAGGGCCCAATCAGATTTTATTCACAGAAAGAAGCCGCAAGCTGGTGTGGTCTGAGTACTGTAGGTTGTCCCATAGACCTGACATGTTCATATTCTGTGTGATTGATCAAGAGTAACAATAGACTCTATAGGTGCAAAATAACATGTAGCCATTTAGTAAAATATTCAGGTTTTGAACTAGATTTATGACCTGGATCCAACGTTATTCATTGTGTACCAGTCTGTGTGGATATTTTCTCTAGTTTCATTACACTGTCCTTTATTTCCCAAGGTGACCAATGCCCTTCATAGTGTGACAGACTATATATTTTCCTATTGAAAGTCCCTGCTGCTTTCCTAATTATATGTTTTTCCTTGAAGTTCTCTAATTGTATTTTTATGACACTACTGACTTCTGGATGTATGTTCAATTTTCTTACTTGACCTATTTACATCCATTGTGATGTTACCTGTACTTGGAAACCCTTGCACTGTTACCTGATAATATTACTATCGTTCTTTAAGACTGAACTCAGTTTTTTCTTGGTATCTCTTAAACATGTTTAATTATTTTTTTTCTCAGACACAGTATTATTTTGGTGTTCCAAAATTAATTTACACATTTAAAAAACTATAGTATATTACACTTATCTTTTTCTACATTTTCTACAATAGTTGCTGGATTATTTTTCTTTTCACTTAATTCCTTTACTTTTCCTACTCACTTTGTTTTTCATATGTTTTTACCATATATCTGACTTTTAATAAATACTGTATGACACTACTGCTTCTCTCTTGCTGATTTCAGTGACTTGGAAAGATAAGAAATTTAGTAGGATAATTTGGGTGAGTGAATAAGAGCAAAATGCTCACTTTTGGATATGTTAAATAAAGAAATAGGATCTCTGGGTGGAGATAACTAGTCAGGAACTCAATTTAGACACCTGGAAAAATACCTTTGCTAATTTATTTTCATATTTCCCATGCCTATCATGGCATTGATAGTGGTACATATGAAAGAAGGCTTTGTTGACCATTGTGATACTTGTGTTCCATTCATTATCTCATTTATCCTTACTCTGATTCTATAAAGTGTAAAAAAATATTTTTTTTATATTCAATCAATGGTAAAATCACAATTTACAAACTTAAAAATAAAACTCACCAGTTATTAGTGATAGAATATTTGAACTTAACTTTTCTCTCCCTATAGCTCTAGCTCTAAAATATCTGAGAAAGAATCTCAAGATATACTCATTGAGGAAATGAATGAATTACATTAGTGTAAGGAAACACGCTGCTATATAAGGCATATAAAAGTTAAATGGATACATATACAGTCAACAACAAACAAAAATAATTCCATAGCAAAAAAACATACACACACAAAAAAATCACACACATAAAAAGACAGGTTTGAGGAATTAATTTATTTGAACGCACACAAATGTTCTTTAAATATTTAAAAAACACATATCAACTCTGTTCAAAAATCATCAATTTCCAACTCAGTGAACTCTCACCTAATGAAATGAGCAAAATGTAAAAGGATATAATCCACAGATCATTTATACAGATGCCCAAAGTAGATTCCCCTGTGCTCCATACAAAATAAAATTAATATTATTAATTAAGAAAGTAATTGTTTTCAAATGAAGCACTTAACGAATGTGACCAATAACTTATATCCTTCAAAAAGGTATTGATGTCAGTAAATAGGATTTTGTGTCTCTGTAAATTTTACATAAATTTGGAAATCATAGTAATAGTGATAAAAAGCTACATTGAGTGGACATATATCTAGTTATATAGAAGTAATCCTTGGCAATTATAATAAGGGGTTAAGGGAGACTCGAGAAAATCTACCACAATATCTAAAAAAAAAATGATCAGATGAAGGAGAATAAAATATATTTAAAAATAGATTTCCATATTCGTAAAGTGAATAAGTGTAAGACTTCCATCATGCTAGACAATATTGCAAGGTAAAAAGCATATTTTCTGAAGCTAGAGTCCCTGGTTCAAATGCTACATTACTACTTCCTTGTGCCAGTTATATAACCCCTCTGTCTCAGTTTACTAATTGATACAGTGAGTATAATAAACACCGATCTCACTGTATAGTTTTTTGACTGAAGATGTAAATATGTGTAAAGTGTTCAGTAAACAAGCAAATACACAGTGATCATCATTTGAAAATTAAGTCATTATTACTATAATAAATCAAAAGAAACTTGAGAATAATCATTTTTACTTGAGAACTTTTAAACAGAGCATGGAACAAATAACAATGAAAACACACACCTGTTTGTATAAAATGCATTGTCCAGTGTATTGAGAAGCTTTAAATTGTGACAATAATTAGCCTAGTCATTCCACATTGAGGATATTGAAATGTTGTCAATAAATATAGAATCCTATATACTAAAGAGGTAATATGCAAACTGACCATCACTCCAACACACAAGATGGCTGCCCCCATTTGGACATAAGATGGCCTGCAGGGGAGGGCAGTTGTGGGGGACCCAGGCATGCAGTGGAGGGAAGTTAGGTGGGACCAGGCCTGCAGGGTAGAGCAGTTAGGGGTGACTAGCCAGCAGGAGAGGGCAGTTAGGGGCAATCAGGCTAGCAGGGGAGCAGTTAGACATCAATCAGGCTGGCAGGGGAGTCATTAGGGGGTGATCAGGCTGGCAGGAAGAAACGGTTAGGGCAGTTGTTCTCAACCTTCTTAATGCTGCGACCCTTTAATACAGTTCTTCATGTTGTGGTGAAGCCCCAACCATAAAATTATTTTCGTTGCCACTTCATAACTGTAATTTTCTACTGTTATGAATCATAATGTAAGTATCTGATATGCAGGATGTATTTAGGCAACCCATGTGAAAGGGTCGTTCGACCCCCAAATGGGTTGTGACCCACAGGTTGAGTACCACTGGGTTAGGGGCTATCAGGCAGGAAGTCAGGTGAGCGGTTAGGAGCCAGCAGTCCTGGATTGTGAAAGAGATGTCCGACTGCCCATTTAGGTGGGATCCGGCATAAATGGGTAGTCAGACATCCCTCAAGGGGGTCCCAGATTGGAGAGGGTGCAGGCTGGGCTGTGGGACACACACTCCCATGCAGAAATTTTGTGCACTGGGCCTCTAGTATGAAATAATAATAATAAATAACAATTGTTCCTAACAGTTATTGAAAGCTTCCAATAAGGAGGCAATCCTTTATTTATAAAAGAAAGAAAATATAAATGCACAGCATCAAATATCTCTGGTGAAAGACACAGCTGAATGGAGAAATAGCATGTTGGGGACAGGGTTGCAGGTATTGTTAATGCACTAGGACTTCATGAGACAGATTCTACCAACATGAGTTTGTATACATATATATTTCAGTTTTCAGAAATTTTCTTGTTTGGGAAGAAGAGACCCATCACTCGGTCACGAATCTGCTTGGTCTTGACACCATATACCAAGGGATTGACTGTAGGGGGTATCAGAAGGTACAAACTTGCAAAAATTATGTGGACGCTTGGAGGTACCTTCTTGCCAATGCGGTGAGTTAGGAAGCTAAATAGTGCAGGTGTGTAGAAGGCAAGAATAGTGCAGACATGGGCAGCACAGGTGCCCAGTGCTTTAGAGCGGGCATTCTGGGAAGAGAGCTGAAAGACAGCCTGGAGGATTTTGATATAGGATGTGGCTATGAGCCCTAGGTCCAATACCATCACTGAAAGGGCCACTGAGATGCCATATGCTCTGTTAATGAGAGTATTGGCACTGGCCAACTTCACCACAGACATGTGCTCACAATAGGTATGATTGATGACATTTTTGGTATAATATGGTAGCCTCTTAATGAGAAGAAGACAGGGCAAAGCCATAAGTATGGCTCGGATCATGCTACCCAGACCCATTTTAATGACCATGGTTGTTGTCAGGATGGTTGTATAACGCAGTGGGATGCAAATAGCTACATACCGATCAAAGGCCATGGCAACTAGGAGGGCTGACTCAATTATGCAAAATGTGTGAATTAAATACATTTGTGCTAGGCAGGTATTAAATTCAATCTCATGAGCTTCCAACCAGAAGATAGCAAGCATCTTGGGGGCTACAGATAAGACAAGACTTATGTCCATCATTGCCAGCATGCACAGGAAGAAATACATAGGCTGGTGGAGGCTAGGCTCTAGTTTGATGGTGACAATGATTATGCTGTTCCCCAGCAGAGCCAGGACAAGCAGGAGGTAGACAGGGATGCCAATCCAACAGTGAAAGTCTTGCAAACCAGGAATACCAACCAGGAAGAAAGAAGAGATGTAGTGATATGTAGAATTGTCTGCCATGTTAAAACTCAGTAAGTTGCATGCTCATGTACACAGTAGCCAGTTAATTCTCCGGTACAAGAAAGCAGTGTAACAAAGTGCTTCTTCTATGGCCCAGCAAGTAGAAAGTCCAGACACATGATTTAATAGCCTACCTGGAGGGCTGACTCCTCCTAAACCTCTGTCAGTAATCAGGTATACCACTTCGCCATTCTAAATTGCAGCATCTTCACCTGCAAATGAGAAGTCTGAATTCAAATCTTTCAGATATTTTTTCCTACATTTTGGAATTGTTTTCAATTCTACACTGTAGTTTTTATTTCCCATTAGTATCGGTTAGTAATATCATAGCCTCATTATTATGTCAAAGCCAACATGGATTCTGTGAGATAAACAGTTTTAGAGAAAAAATCAAGTTGTCTTTTCAAACAAATTGATATCAAGAGTGGGTACGTATACATAAACACACACACAAGAAACTACAGGTGTTTTAAAAATAATAATAATATTCATTCATAGTGAGCATATCAAAGTAATCAAGAATTTAGAATAAGATCTTCTAACCAAAAATATAGAATGTACTTATAAAAATTAAAGCTAATCAATGCCCTCTCATTAATCAAAGACAAATTTGTCCCTATTTTCAATAAATTCCTTAAGAAGACCTGAAGCTATACAGCATAACACAATCACATAAACAGAAAAAAATTGAATATATTAGTTCTTCATGCTGTCAAATGATTTAAAGTTGCTGCAAATAAGAACAATAGTTCTTAATAAGCCCAGACTATTTTCTGCAAAGCCCTGACTCCCAGCTGCAGACATCACTCCCTCTGTCTCGAGCATCTTTCCTGACTGATAATAGTGAAGGACAAAGCAAGTGCAATTCAGCCCTATTGGTCTCAGCAGCAGGAGTAGTATCTTGTGACTCTTGCTCTGACCCTGTCCTTTTGTTTTGCTAACTGACCCCTATTGTTATTCCTAGCATCCATGTTCTTCCTACTATCATTATTCTGGCATATGTACTTCACTCTTCTTAACATGATTTTAAACTTACAATTGCTCCCAGGGTCTCTATTTATGGTCCTGAATGCCACTGATGTAAAAACTCAAGATATATTGGCAAATACTACTAATGCAATGATTCCTTGTGTAGAGGAGTAAATGTAAATGATGTGTGTGTGTGTGTGTGTGTGTGTGTGTGTTGTGTGTTGGGGGGTGGAATGGTCTATTATTCCTTGTTAAAAGTTAAAGATTTTTTATTTAATTTATAAAAATTCAGAGCTTAAACTGTAGCCACAATAAAGAAACTTACTGTTGTGAAAATTACTGCCTAAGAGGATGAAGTCTATAACCCAAGACAAAGATAAGAATTTAGGACAAAACCTGCAAATAGTGAACATTCAGAGTATGAAGAAATTTTAAGTATTTATCAAACTCTTGCTGATTGCAAATTCTCAAATGATTGTTTTCCACTTGGAAATTTGGTTGGCCAAGTACCATTCTTATATTTGCTTCTGGGAGAATCAAACATACAAAAGGCGAACCCACCTAAGATTACAAACAAGCATAATCACTCTTGGTAAATAGATGTAAATATTTTAAAAATCACCTTTTAGTTTTTTATAAACTAACTTACAAGATAGTAACATGTCATCTACACCAAGAGAAAAGAAGCACTTACGAGATCATAACATGTCATCTGTACCACGAGAAAAGCAGCTTAACAATGGAAGCTTCCAGTCAGAGCCATAGAATGTGGCACACAGAGGAAATTACGGAGAACTACCCCCAAATCATGGTCTGCTTGTACAGTTACCCCTCTTATCTCAAAAGTTTTTCTGTCTTCTCCCAGGCTTATTTTGAAATCTTTATATTATCTTCAGCAGTTTGCCAGGTAATACAAATACCTGCCCAGACTTCTCTAATTTTCTATTAGCAATACCATTCCAACTGCTTCTGAACCATGTGAGTGCCTTATTTCTTCTGACACCCTGAGTTTTGCAGTTTTGTTTGTGTCTGAGTCAGTCAGCATTTTCTCTAGCCTGGAACCTGCCACTTCAGAGTAGAGAACTCTACTGGAATACAGTGGTCTTTTCTCTACAGTCTCTTTTGAATACCTTATGTATTTTATACAGAGGTATTGAAATAAGAACACATAAAAATACCCCAAACTACATTCAGTAAGCTCTCCCATTCTTTTCCATACAAATATATCTTATTTGTTGGCAACAACTGATACCACCCAGCCATTAGAAAATCAGAACTATCCTTGCCTCCTCTATTTCTACCACTCCAGTCAAGCAGCCATGGAGTCTTTACTTCTGTAAAAGGTCTTACCATGTGCTCTTCCTGTTTTCACTTGCATGTCATCGCCTTCATCAGACTGTGAATACACAAAGGAGGGCACTTAATCTCAGTAAACCCTCAGTGGAGTCTGAAGGAAGATCTGATGTTTCTCTATGTCCTCCACAGACCCTCAAGAATTTCACATTTTTATCTTGCTCTCAAGGCTTCTGGCCCACCAGCAATAACTTATTCATAGTCATTGCCTACCTTCATTTATTCCAGCTGCTATCTTAGAATATGACTTTTTAAAATAGTTTCTGCTTATGAGTTACAATCTCACAATCCTTGACATACTGTAGGTAATGATTAAAAAATAACTATTATTCTTTGAAAAGTATCAAATTATAATTTCTGCTGAAGTATCTAGACCAATATGCATATCTTGGAATGGTTAAAAAATATGGCAGTGTAGTCATCGGTAGTGAGGACTCTGCGGTTAAGTTGGTAGTTATGGTTGCTTTGTAATAGGCTATTTCAATGTTCAGAAGATCCCTCTGGAAGGCTGATGGGTCACTTAGGAGAAACAAAATTGAAGGGAAAAGAGGTCTGGGCCAGGATGAAGCACAAAGCAATAACAATGTCTCCCCATGGAAAACTGTACTTACACTGTAAACTTTTTAAAAAAAATATTTAATGACTTCTATTTTAGCTCTAACATGTCATAAGCTCAGAATTGTCACTCCTGTCCTGACACGGAAACGCTAGGCAAATTGAATATCAATGACTTTTCTTAAAGCCTTCTCAGAAATGAGGTCACAGGGCAAATCATCCACCTCAAACAGAGAGAGAGAAGCGCATCCAAGGAGGTACAGCTCTCAGTATCCAGCTGCTTGGAGCAGAGGTATTTAAAGTTACAACAGTCAACACACTTCACTATGAAACCTGACAAGTTGCTGGGGGCTGCATTTAGATTATCATGACTATGAGAAACTCTATTGTCTTCATTCAGAGGTGTCCTACATATTCCATAAACTTTACTTCTAAAAACACCAACAGAGTCACAGTTAGGATCAAAGAAATATTTCCTGTTGGAAGAGAAGTCAATGTGAAACTTTTCCGGAACCCTCTGTATAAAAAAAGCTTCCTCTCCAAGGGGAAAATCCTAGCTAGAGGGCAATACTGAGACCTTAACTCTTCTAACAGTCAAACATTTCAGCCCACTCCATTCCTTCTGAATCTCATTCTGGAGGATGCAGGGGGGATATAGTCAATAGAGGATAGGTCATCAAAGAACTAGATTGGAACCACTGCATGCAAGGAAGAAAATATAGGGAAAGAAGGGAGGAAAGTAACACAAATTCTCTTCCTCCACAACCTACCACCTCAACAAATCTTTAGTACAATGACAGTGGAATACATTGAAACATAACCTTCTCTGAGGAGCAGTAGAAAGTGAAATCCCAAAGCTAAGAATAGAGCCATAATCAGGACATTACTAACCCATACATATAATTTGCCTTTTTCCCTGAGTCCATTAAGATTGCTTGATTATATTTAGCTGTCATATGGGAGAATATGATTTTATTTTATTTTATTGACTATATTAGGGTGACATTGGTCAATGAAATTATATAGGATTCAGGTGTACAATTAAAATAATAAAAGTGTAATTTGCTAATTAGACCAGGCTAGTTGTTGAGTGAATAGAGTAGCATGCCTCAACAGATAACAGATTGCTATATAGTGGTCCAGAGCAATGGCCAATAGGACTCCTGATTCAATAACATGAAATGTGTGGTTTTGCCACATCTGTAAAAGGCAAGCATCAAAATTCATATCTGGCAAGTGGAACCCCAAAATACCAAGCATCTTGGGGACAATGCTGGTACTAAGTGCAATGTCTGTGGCTCCCAATATGGCCAAGAAGACATACATAGGCTCATGGAGCCTGGGTTCAGATTTGATGGTGAGTGAAAGTTCCTATCAAAGCAATGAGGTACATAACACAGAATGGAGTCCCAATCCAGCACTGTATAGTTTCCAAGCCAGGGATCCCAATAAAGGTCAGTACAGAGGGCATGAACATGGTGCCATTTGGAATGGGCATGGCAGGTCAGGGTCCTTCCTTGCAAAAGAGCAAAATTTGGCAAACTGTGATTCTCTGTACTGGTCTGTGACCTATTCTCAACTAGTCACACAAATATTGAATGACAGAAATAGGAGAATCAACCTCAGCAGCTTATTTAGCATTTTTTAAATGAATGAGACAATGGACACTGGCCCAACAAAAAGTTTTACCAGTATATACATTAGCAAAATCACCTGCCCACTCAGTGATACCCACATGCAAAGACGGAGTATTTGGACACCTATGCCTATGTTGGGGCCAATGTGATCAGGCTGCTTGGTGGTGTTCTTCCTCCCCCACTCCATCTTCTCTTTCTTCTTCTAACCTGTTCATGGAAATCAGAAAAATAGAAAAATAAATAAACAAACATTGGAATGATACTTTAGACAGAGAAACACCAAAATCCACTATACCTTGAACCCCACTTTTCTCTCGTCCTCACTTCTCTCTTTTTAGCACCACTTTAGACAATCAGGGCTGGGTATTTCTATAGAACATACCAATATTTCTTTGATAAATTATTGATTGAAGGCTCTTTCCAGCATTGTGATTCCACCAATAAAACTACCTCTTCTTACCTTGAACTTCCTTCCCACCAAGGAATTTGCAAGTATGACATTCATGCAGGGCCCAGACTTCATCAAGATAGACATTGGCAGCTGCATAATTTTGTATATTACCATGGCAATTGTAATTCAGGAAACAAATCTTATATATAAACTAGTGGCTTGGTGCACAAAATTCATGCACATTAAAAGGGATTAATTAGAGGAAATATTTTGATATTGCTCTTTGCCCTTTCTCTATAATAGAATTGTCAGAGATGAAAGAAAATTAGTGAAATGTAATAAAATCTTTCTTCTGTCAGAGTGTGGGGAGCATTGCAGGACCCAGAGTCAAGTCCCTGCCCACCCATTGCACCTCAAAATTATGGTAGACCAAGACACAGTGGGCCCCACCTCCATTGGGCAATATTCAGACCCAGCTGGCCCCACCCTTGTCAAGCCTCTCAGGATGGGAGGCATGGACTCAGGTCCCTGGGCCTGGCACCAGGTGGGGGATGCAACCTCAGGGCACCTGTCAAGCCGTGCCAGGTGGGTAACGCATCCTAAGTTCCCCCAGCCTGGCCCTGGGACAGGGGTGCAGCCTCAGGTCCCCCATCAAACCCTGCTAGGCAGGGGGCATGGACTTAGGTCCTCCATCAAGCCCTGTCAGGTGACAATAAAAACAATAAAAAACAATCAAACAAAAGGAGGCTAAATAGCATGCTATTGAACAATGAATGGGTTATCAAAGAGATCAAAGAAGAAATAGAAAACATCCTGGAAACAAATGAAAATAAAAACACAACAATAAAAAAAAAATCTATAGGAGACAATGAAAGCAGTCCTGAGTGGGATATTCATAGCACTATAGGCCTACTTAAATGCCGCAGTCTTTTTGCAGCACGGGTTCAGGAATCTGGAGAAGGGGCTGCAACATAAATGGATGGAGACTAGACAAGAAATATAAATTTGGAAGGCATTGGGGGAACCAGACAGAAGCCAGTTCTATAGTGGAATGGCTCCCTGAATGTCGGGAACCAGGGATTTTTACTCAAACATTTTGCCCTTTAGCAAAGCAGATATTCATATCAAAGGTAAGGTTTGGTAAACAATAAAGGATGATCAGGTTAGGGGAATTGCCCTCAGCTGTTTGGCAGCAGATAATAATATGCTTAATAATAAGCCTTCTGATGAACTTCTCACATTTATTATGCTAACTACTGTTCTTAGCCTCCAGCACTTTAAGAAACAAAGAAACAAAAATACACTGGTAATAAGTTATCTAATCCTACCACTTATAGCACTAAAAAGAGAGCAACAAGAAAAGCCAAGAGTAAGTAGAAGAAAGGAAGTAATTAAGATCAGAGTGGAAATAAATCACAGGCTCACCAAGAAACAAAGATGGAGGACCCAAGTAAACAAAATAAAAAATGAAAGAGGGGAAGTAACAACCAACCCACATAAATAAAAAGGATTATTAAAAAAATACTATTAACAACCGTACTCCAAAACCCTGGACAACCTAGACAAAATATATTTATTCCAAGAAAAATACAATCTTCCAAAACTCATTCAAGAAGAATCAGAAAACCTGAATAGGACTATAATTACCATTGATATCGAAGCAGTAATAAAAAAAGTTCGCCCTGACTGGTTTGGTTCATTGGATAGAGTGTCAGCCTGCAGACTGAAGGGTCCCAGGTTCAATTCCGGACCAGGGCATGTGCCTTGGTTGTGGGCACATCCCCAGTAGGAGATGTGCAGGAGGCAGCTGATTGATGTTTCTCTATCATCGATGTTTTTGACTCTCTATCCCTCTCCCTTCCTCTCTGTAAGAAATCAATAAAATATATTTAAAAAAAAAAAACTTCCAGCAAACAAAATCCCTGGTCTGGACAACTTCACAGGGGACATTTAGTAAACATGCAAAGAAGAAGTGACATTGATACTCCTCAGACTATTCCAAAAAATTCAAGAGGAAGGAACACTTCAAACTCTTTCTATGAAGCCAACATTACCCTAATCCCAAAACCAGATAAAGACACTATAAAGAAAGACAACTACAAATTGAAAGACAAAAGCCACATGATCATATCAATTGATGCTGAAAAAGCAAGTGACAAAATCCAACATCCTTTTTTGATAAAAACTCTCAGCAAAATGGGAATAGAGGGATCATAACTCAACATAATAAAAGCCTTATATGACAAACCTACAGCCAACGTCATACTCAATGGGCAAATACTAAAACCTTTTCCTCTAAAAAGAGCAACAAGACAGGGATACTCACTATCACCACTCTTATTCAACACTAGAGGCCCGATGCACAAAATTTGTGCAAGAGCCTTGGCCTCTGCCACCACAGCAGCTGCCTCGGCCTCAGCTCCCACCTGCCGCAGCTTTGTCCAGAAGGAAGGACGTCTGGAAGGATGTCTGGTCTAATTAGGATATTATGCTTTTATTATTATAAAAGTGCTAGCCATAGCAATCAATCAAGAAGAAGAAATCATAGGTATCCAAATTGGAAAAGAAGAAGTAAAACTTGCTATTCACAGATGAAATGATATTGTACATAGACAATCCTAAAGACTACAGCAAAAAACTATTAGATTTTGTAAATGAATTCAGAAACATAATAGGATACAAAATTAAAACCCAGAAGTCTATGGCACTTCTATACACCAATAATGAACTCACAGAAAGAGAAACTAAAAAAAAAAAAAAAAAAAAAAAAAAGAATTCCATTTACCATTGATACCTAGAAATAAACTGACCTGTACTTAGACTACAGGATGCTGCTAAAAGAAAAGAGAGGAAAAGTTATAAACAAGTGGAAGAGCATACCGTGTTCATGGATTGGTAGAATCAATATCCTTAAAATGTCCATAATACCCAAAGAGATCTATACATTCAATGCAATCCCAATTAAAATACCAATGGCATATTTCACAGACCTAGAAAGAACTCTCCAAAAATTTATATGGAACTCAAATAGCTGAAGCAATCCTGAGAAAGAAGAACAAAGTAGGAGGAATCACAATACCAGACATTAAGGTATATTACGAAGTCACTATTCTCAAAACTGAATGGTACTGGCACAAGAACAGACAATGGAACAGAACAGAGAACGCAGAAATAGACCCATGCCATTATGCTCAATTAATGTTTGACAAAGGAGGCAACAGCATACAATGGAGTCAAGACAGTCTCTTCAATAAAAGGAATTGGGAAAATTGGACAGATACATGCAAAAAAAATGAAACTAGATCACCAACTTACACCATAATCAAAAATAAACTCAAAATGGATAAAAGACTTAAACTTAAGACAGAAAACCATAAATATCTTAAAAGAATCCATAGGCAGCAAAATATCAGACATATTGTGGAGCAGTATCTTTACTGATACATCTCCTAGGACAATGGAAACTAAGGAGAAAATAAACAAATGGGACTACATCAAAATAAAAAGCTTCTGCATATCAAAAGAAACCATCAACAAAATAACAAGAGAGCCCACTGCATGGGAGAATGTATTTGCCAATATTATATTTGAGAAGGGTTTAATCTCCAAAATTTACAGGGAATTCATGCAACTTAACAAAAGGTAGATAAACAATCCAATCAAAAAATTGGCAAGGGCTCTACATAGACGCTTTTCAAAAGAGGACATACACAAGGCCAAGAGGCGTATGAAAACATGCTCAAAGTCACTAATCATCCTGGAAGTGGAAATCAAAACAACAATGAGGTGCCATCTCAGACCCCTCAGAATGGTTATCATCAACAAATCAACAAATGACAAGTGCTGGCAAGGATGTGTGTGGCGAAGCATGGGAATTGGTTGGAAAGTCTATAAGGAGGAATCTTGGAAAAGTTGGGCACTTCTAGAGGGACCTTGCTGAAGGCAGCAGACCCTGCCTTGACTTTTCCAAACAAATCTGAGTCCCTGGGTGTTTTACTGGAATCTTTATGCTTAATCTTTAGGTGTCTTTGCTTAAAGGACACTCCAGACACAGGTGTACTCCCAAGACTGGGCAAAACTGCTGGGCAGGGGATATATAAAATGAGTGTAAAGAGAACCATGCAGAGGAACATAGTCCTTAATGGAATTCACAGCATCAGCAGTGTAAAGGGAGTCAGAGCGACAAATGAGTTGTTTTGATACAGGAGAAAAACAGGATAAAGTGTGATTATAGAAACAAAACTTGAGTTTTATAAAGAAAATTATGTAGAGTTCCTCACTAATATCAACTTAGAAGAGACCTTTAAACAGTTCATTTTGTTTGGATAGAATTTCATTTTGATTTTTTTTCCAGGATAATAAGGTTTAAAAAGATGTGAATGCAAAGGCTTATGACAATGGTTTGAAAAATCTCTTAAACTGATTAACAATACACTGCAAATTATCACTCAGGATTATAGAGCCAATTAA